AGCTGGTGTCAATAGTTGCTTTAGTTGGAATATATGCTGATCATTTTTCCACTATCTGGTACGGTCTCTAAAACATCCTAAGGCCTTCTCAGCCCAAGAGTGCCTATTATCAAACTCAATCAAGTAGGGTAGTATACTAATGTGATCGAAAAAAATGCTTGACAGTCAATGCTGAATTCTGGAAGTTCATGGATTCAGTAGTATAACTGCTACACACCTTCAGGTATGAGTGTTGTGATTGGCCCTACATCAAATTTGAACACATTGGCCAATCGGAGACCTCATACAGCCTATATTGCTCGCATTAGTGTTCGCCTGTCTGCAGTCAGTGTTCACAAAGCAGGTTTCCGCATCACCCCTTCGCATTTTTCTCAGTCAGCCCACGATTTTCGATTATGGAGCACCCACTGATCCGCATCCGACGGTTGACAGAGGCGTCAGGCAATGAAACGCGAGTGCTGAACGGTGCGCCTAGCACTTCATCGCATTCAAAGCCGGCTGCTGTGGAGCTTGCACGTCGTGCTGTCCCTTTCTGCCGAAGCGCTGCTGTGTGTTTGTTAACGCGTGAGTAGTACCGTCACGTCGTTTGACATTCAATCTTTGAATATTTCTCAGAGATTGGCCGTCTCTTGCAGTTATCATATGGAGGCTGCGCACAACATTTTTTTCTCATCGCTTCAGTCATTCGCAAGAACCTCAGGCTCTGCAAGACTGGAAGGGGGAGCTGACGGCAATCACGCTACCAGAAGGTCGAATACTGGCAATTTTCCAGATAAACAGCAACGACTGCATCGACGAGAAAATTGCCGACCGCCAGATTAGTTTTGCGAAATGCGGATTCATTTCCTCGCCGGGAGAAACGTCATGGATCAACGCGACATTCGTATACTTCGCCGACCACGCCGTCCATGCAATTTGCCCGCATGCTAACGGAACGGATGGTTCCGTCGAGCCTAGTCTGCTGCGGATCTATTACGACACAGCGTAGATCTGCTCGTGCAGAAGCTTCATCAGGCGTCCTGGGATGGGCTAGTGTATGCTGCAGCAGCTGAACCCGAAGGCCTATATGTCTGGGCGAAAGGCATTGTTAACGTTCACAACAGGAATCTTCACGGTCAGGTCAAGTGCCTGGTGGACGGAGTTGAGACCACTCCCTTAATGCTCTCCCAAGAGATCGCACTTTGCCCGATTGCTCAAGCCAACGTTATCCGTTCAGCATGTGGCTGTCTCAACACTCCAGTCACACTATCAGTGCGTGGAGCACCTTTGCCCTCTGTTGCTTCCGTCTGTAGGCCCAATTCCGCACTCGATTCTACCAGCTTAGTATCTGGTGAGCCACCACAGGCAGCCAACCACAGTCACGCCAGCCGAAGAATCGGCTTCGTTCTTCCAAACGGGTATTTCCATACCAGCACATCCAGTGGCGATCAACCAATGAAGCAGTACTACCTGTGTTCATGCACAATGGTCCTTGACAGCGCGAAGTTCATGGGGGAGTGGCTGCTGTACCACGGATTTCTTGGTGTGGAGCATTTCTTTGTGTATGACAACGGCAGTGAAGACGGGCTTGGGAGTCCATTAAAGAAGCTCAGGGGACGGGCCATGCAAGAGGCTTTGAGATTTCAGCCACTATACATACCGTATTCTCCCGGATATAAGACCCGGGGGACTTTCCTAAAATAGAGGCAAATTGACTAGGGTGAACATTTAATCGGCACGAGTTGTAAGAGTCCCGGGTACACTTAATAATCAAGTACATTTATGCGATTTAGGGGTGTACACTTGATTTGAAGGGGGGGGGGGGGTCTTATGTTCGAACCAAAAAAATTTCGCGTGCGCGAAATTCGCGCGAGCGGCGCGTCAGAAGCGTCAGATCTCGTATCTGACACGATTGGTGTGTCAGAACCCGATTCTGACACAAATGACGCATCAGATTTTGGATTATGTACCTCTAAAAGCTGACGCGCATATTCTATTTTAACTACTGTATACAGAAAAGGGGGGACTTATATTGTTTTATAGCAAAAGGGGGGTCCTCTCACATATGCTGCATATTAAGAGTCCCAGTACCGTTCAAAAGTCCCGGGGGTCTTTTTTTCGGGAGGGTCCTATATCGGGGAGAATACGGTAGCTGGCCCTGGATCAAGTCTCAGGAAGGCTGTTTTTCTCATTGTGCTCTACAAGCCAAGAAGCTCTGCACGTGGGTCATTTTCATTGACGTGGATGAGTTTGTCTTTCCGGCACAAATGGTGAAGGAAATTGAGTCACAGAAGCTCACTGCAGCTGGAAGTCAGTATGCGTTTCTTCTCCCCATGTTTGTGAAAAGAATGGCTAAGAAGAAGCATGCTGCAGCCGCAATGGCCACAGGTGGAAACGATTCGTGTCAACAGGTTGGCCAGATTGTTCTGCCATGCCTCTTATTTGGCCCATCAGGTCACCAAGAACACCCAGAAAAGGGAGTTATATCTGGGTACACGTGCAGGTTGGAGTTTCCCAATCACCACAAGTCACTAATCCTGACTGAAGCCATAGCTCCTCCACTACACAACGTGGTACATCACTTCACAAGCTTGGAGCATCAATATTGCAGAGTAAATGTGTGGCATACGCAGGGAGCTATTTTCCACTACAAGTTCCAAGCTTGGCCCGAATTCAAGACCAAGTTCAGGAGGAGAGCTTCCACTTTTGTTGCTGACTGGGCACAGATGGATAGAATGCAATCCAAGGATCGGGTTCCTGACTTGGGTGTTGAGGCAATCGAGCCAGCTGATTGGAAGAATCGTTATTGTGAGATGGAAGATTACAGGTTGAAGCTAATTTCGGCACAAATTGCATCAGCCACTTCCCGCTGGCGCTTAGAGAGCGCGGTAAATGCTATGCGCCACATTTTTGAGAAATTGTTTTCCACATGTGGACTTGTCTGATTACCATATGTGCACTATCTACAGTGAATAACTGGCAAAACGTCAAGAAAAGCGAATCTACAGTACATTATGATTTGAATCTCAGAACTCAAGGTCATCCTCTAACACAATCTCAGGCAACGGGCCATCAGAGTCAGAATCAAATCCAGTCGATGCAGCAACTGAAGTTGCAGCACCACCAGATGCATCCCTCCCTCTCCCACCACCACGAACACCACCGCCACCAGTGGCACCAGTAGCAGCAGCAGCAGCACCGGCAGCAGCAGCAGCAGCTGCAGCACCACCAGCACCAGCACCAGTAGCAGCAGCAGCACTGCTAGCTCCAGCACCACCTGCAGAACCAGCTTGCCCTTGCTGTCCTATTGCTACAACTCCACTGGAGCCCAAACCCGAACCTGCAGCACCTGAACCTGGAGTTCCCGAGCCTCCAGTCCCTAGGTAGCCAGACTCCTGTAGCATGCGAGCCATCGCAGCAGCCTTGGTTCGGGATTCCCGCGCCCTCCTGGCAGCCTCCAGCCCAGCAGCATCTGCCTCCTCCACTGTGGTTACCACCTTTCTTGCCCCGTAACCTGAAGGTGCCGAACCTGCGAGCGCCAAACCTCCCCCAGTCCGAGCCTGCTCTTTGCCCTGCCTCCCTGATCCTGATCCGCTAGTCATCCCACCAGCGACAGCAGCACCAGAAGCACCGGCAGCACCGGCACCAGCAGTAGCACCAGAACCAGTACCAGCAGCAGCAGTACCTTGGTCGTTTTTAGCAGCTCCTCTCCTGCTCTTACCAGCAGACCCACTGCTGCCAGCAGGAGCAGCAGACGCGGAGGGGGAAGCACCGGCAGAGGCAGAGGGGGACGAGGGATCATTAGCACTAAGGAATCGGGCCACAGCCGGCGCCAGAGTTTTAATGAAAATCTCCTTCCCCACATCTCTACGCTTTCCTCCCGTCTCTGCTCCTCCCGCTCCTCCCGTTCCTCCGCCTCCTGTTCCTGCTCCTCCACCTGCTCCTGCTGCTGCCCCTTTTCCTCGCTGATTCGCTCCTCCTCTCCCTCGCCCTCCTCCTTTGTCACTCTGTGATGAAACTGCTGGCGCTGCAGCTGCTCCTGCTCCCGCTGCTGCTTCTTGTTGTGGTGCTAGGACTGCACCAGCAGCAGCAGTGGCCGTGGCAGCTTGCACAGGCGCAGGAGCAGCAGAAGGAGGGGCAGCAGGAGGAGGCATGGGCATGGCAGGAGCGACAACAGCAACAGCAGCACCATCAGTATCCATCGGCATGGCTGCTGCTTGTCCCTCCATAGACCCGAAACCATCAGATGATCCCAAGGCTGCTCCCATTGCTGCCTGTCCTAGCGCAGCGACCGTGTTACCTCCCCCTGTGGTAACACCTGCCCCACCAGTACCACCTGCACCAGATGCGCCTCCCCCGATCTCCATCAGGTTGTGCCCGAACGTGCCATACCCGTCCACTTCCGTCCACAGGTCTGCTAACGGCCAGACATCGCCGCCCAGCGCTCCAAGCCCTGTGGTACCACCCCCCATTCCACCTCCCATCCCGCCTCCCATTCCGCCCTCCATCCCGCCTCCCATCCCCCCACCCATTCCTCCGCCCATCCCTCCGCCCATCCCTCCGCCCATCCCTCCGCCCATCCCCCCACCCATTCCCCCGGTGAACCCTCCACCCCCGCCCCCAGCATCCCCCCATACGCCCCAACTCCACCTCCCCCCCCTGCTACTACATCCCCCATTCCCCCGCCCATGCTGCCACCCATCCCTCCACCAGCACCCCCTCCCACAGCAGCAGAGAGATTCATGGCCATAGAGCCAGGGACAGGCTGCAGGGCGGCAGCAGGGGCGGCGAGAGTCGTCTGGGCGGCGGGCGGCAGCAGGCTGCCGGAACTGGCTGGCCGGCTGGCAGAAGGGGCGGGCGAGCCGCCCAAACTCTGCTGCTGCTGCTGCCGCAGATTCTCCTGTTGCAACTGCTCCTGCTGCATCTGCTGTTGCTGATGCTGCTGCTGTAGGTTCGGTGGGGGTTGCGAGGGGACGAGAAGCGACGAGAGCGGGTGGATGGAGGAGGAATGGGGAAGACACCTGGGATGCAACACCGGCTCGAGAGCCAGCAGAGCAAAGGAGCAGAAAGCAGCTACCTCCGTCCCCAGTTGCTGCCTCCCCTGCCGGAATATCTTAAGCGCTTGACCGAGGTATGGTGGGCGGTACTTGCACGGGGCTAGGAGGGAGGCCAGGAGCGCACGAGATGCTGCCAGCTGGAGCGATCTGATTGCACGGTCGGACCCGGGCGTCCAGGGCATGTGCGCGTGCGTGCTGGGGAAGTTGTAACCGGAGTTGTAACCGGGAGTGGAGTTGAAACCGGAGTCGTAACCGCCGGTGCCGAGGGCGATGGCAGCGGTACAGGTGAGTGCTGCGTCTACCTCCATTCTCCAATGCTCCGGTAGCAAGGGGCCACCCTGGCAAGGGAGGAAGGAAGGGACGGAGAGGGGTGGAGAGGAGACAGAAGCATGCATGTGAGTTGTGTGCATGTGAGTGCTGTGTCTACCTCCACGCACCAATGCTCCGGTAGCAAGGGGCCACCCTGGGAATGCAAGGGAGTAGAGAAGAGGAGAGTGAGAGGGACATACAAAAGGTGAGTTTTGTGCATCTGAACATCAAGCAGGTGAGTCCACCATGTTCTATTCTCCAATGCTCCGGTGGCAAGGGGCCGCTGTGGAAGGGAAGAGATGAAAAGGGACGGATGGAATTAGCCTCATCATAGAAACACAATGAACCCATACTTTATCCCCCCTACAAGCTCAACCCCCTTCCCACATAAGCTCTGCCCTTGCCACACTCCGGCCCCACTCCCACACTCTCCCATTCTTGCACTGTCCCCTCCATTCTCTTCCCATTTTCACCCTCGCCCCTCACATACTCTCCCTCCGCACACAGTCACCGCCACACTCTCCCCGCTACACACCCCCGCTCCGCACTCACTCCCCCCCACCCACACACTCACCGCCACCAGCAGCGCCTCCAGAGCCTCCAGAATGGCGATCTGAAGATCAACGGTCTGCAGGCACCGACTGCCCGAGATAACACCCACCCCAGTTGCACCTCCCCCCGCCCCTCCCCCTCCCCCTCCACTGCCCGCCCCGCCCAGCTTCCCGCTGCCTGCTGCAGCGCCGGGAGCGGCGTCGAATGCCATGCTGCCACCTGGCGAGCGCTGGTTGGTCGGGGAGAAGAGCGCCGGCACGGCCTGCTTGAGGTCTGTGATGCCCCGCCCCACCACTATGGGGGCGATCTGTGTCATCATGCCTGGTGGGACAGAAAAGGGGAAGGGGAGGGGAAAGGGGGGTGGTGGGCAGTGCCAGAAAGGGGTGGAGAGGAAGGGGGAAGAGCGAATTCACTCACCCCCGCTGAGTGCATATATATGCTGTACTGTGTGGCAGTGGCCGTGAAGCAGTGACTTTTGAGTCGACTCAAAAGTCACCTCTTTATATATATGCTGTACTGTGTGGCCGTGGCTGTGAAGCAGTGCTTTGAAGGGCAGTGAAGGGGAGTAGGGGTGTGAAGGAACAGGCTGGCACCTGAACCCACCTGCGCCCAGGGAAAGGAGGGAGGTACTGTGTGGCAGCACCGACATACCCAGACGACTCACCAGCGCCCAGCGCATCGAGGTACTGAGTGGCTGTGCGGTAGAGAAGTGCCTTGAAAGGAAGTGCTGACTACAGGAGGCAACTCAGTAGCGCCCACATCTGACACATCTTAACACTCACCCGCGCCCAGAGCATAGAGGTACTGAGTGGCCGTGCGGTACAGCAGCGCCTTGAAAGGGAGTGCTGTGGCGTCCTCCCCTGCTGCTGCTGCCCGGCGAAAGGCCGACACGAGTGTGTGAGAGATGGTGGCTGCATGGGGCAGGATGTGGCTGCCAAGGGGGAATGAGGGAGAGAAGTGGGGAAAGGGGGAAGTGAGAGGGTGTGTGACGAAAGGCTGATATGAGTATGTGTGATATGGTGGCTGCATGGGGCAGGATGTGGCTGAAAACAAGGGGAAAAAATGGGGGAGGAGGGGGGACGAGGTGGGGAAGGAAGTGGGTGAAGGGGAAGGAGGGAAGGATGGAAGTGAGAAAGTGCATGGTACATAGCCGACCGAAGATTCACTATTTGTTTCTCACATCCTCAAGGCACCACTTCATCACCACCTCAGTGTCAGCTTGTGATGAGACGATTTTTTAGTCGACTCAAAAATAGTCTCATCACTCAGTGTCAGCTTCTACCTGAAATAATGAAGTCTTTCATCCACCACACCACACCCACTTTCTCACTCCCTCCAACCCCCCACACTCACTTCCGCACGCCCTGCAGCGCGGCCAGCATCATCCTCAGCCCAGCACACTGCAGCGACGGCAGCTCCACACACAGCGCCAGCTGGCGGGCGGCAGAAAACGCCGAGCCCATGCCGTCCATCCCTTCCCCCGCATCAAAACCATCCCCTCCTCCCCCTCCCCCTCCTCCTCCTCTCCCTCCTCTCCCTCCAGAAGCGAGGAGAGAGAGAGGGATAACCATCCCTGTGCCCTCCACTTGGGTGAGTCGAATTACAGCATCGGCCGAAACAAGGCGGTGGGCGAGAGCAAGCAGGGCGGAGAGGGGCGCTGGGACCTGGGCGGGGAGGGGCGGGGGCGGGGGAGGGTTGGGGTATGGAAGACTACTTTTGAGACGTCTCAAAAGTCGGCATCGGCCGAAACAAGGCGTTGGGCGAGAGAAAGAAGGGCGGAGAGGGGCGCTGGGACCTGGGAGGGAAGAGGGGAGTGGGAGGGGGGAAGGGAGGGGAGGGAAGGGAGGGAGGGAGGGAGGGAGGGAGGGAGGGGTAAACAACAAGAGAGGAGAAAGGAGGGGTTAAGCAAGGAGAGGGAGAGAGAGGGATAACCATCCCTGTGCCCTCGACTTGGGTGAGTCAAATGACTGCGTCAGCTGAGACAAGTCGATGGGTGAGAGCGAGCAGGGCAGAGAGGGGCGCTGGGACCTGGGAAGGGGACGGGTGGGGGCGGGGGAGGGATGGGGTATGGAAGAAGTGAGGATACGAGGAGAAAGGAGAAGTCATGGCAGGAGGGAGGAGCAAGGAGGGAGAGAGACAGGGGAGGAGGCAGGGGAGAGAGGTAGAGGAGAGAGGTAGGGGAGAGAGGCAGGGTAGGGGAGAGAAGCAGGGGAGAGAAGTAGGGGAGAGACACAGGGGATCAACAAGGGAAGGGGAGCAAAAAGAGGAAGGGGGACACAGGGTGCATGGATACATATCACCAATGCCACCGCACTGCACTCCCTCTCAACCTCTTTAAACCGCTCTTGAGACCTCTCGAAACCAACCCACCGGAGCAGAGAACCCCTGAGTGATCGCCAGCTGGCACGTGAGCAGCAGCGCATGCAGTCGGGGCACCACCCGCCGAAACACCGCCTCGGGATCTCCACCGCTGCTGCTGCCGGCGCCACTGCCGCTGCCGTTTGCATTTAGGTTCGACGTCTGCCCTCCTTGCTTGTTCCGCCCCTGCTGCCCCTGCTGTCCCTGCCCTCCTGTTTCCTGCTGCTCGTCGTACTTGGTGCAGTTAGCAGCAATCCAGTGTGCATGCTCCGGCACCAGAGGCACTGGCAGAGCTGCACTCCTGGAGTGCAGGAGCGTTGCCAGGGCCTTGGATCGCACTGATTCTGTCAATTCAAGAAAGGGGGGCAGGGTAATGGAGGAAGGGAGACAGGGAGTGAGGGAGGGAGGGAGGGCAAGGAAGTGTTGGTATGAAGAGGCATTGCAAGGGCCTTGGCCCGCACAGATTTTGCCATCATGCCACGTCGGTCCAGGTAAGATTATCGGGTTGATGGAGGGAGGGAGAGAATCCGGTGAGCAGCGATCCAATCCGGTGCGTGTGCTCGGGCACCAGAGGCACATGAGTCACTCAAGGAGCAGCATTGCTTGCCAATCGGAAGGCCCGTTGTGGGCATGGTACCTGGGAGAGGCCGTCAGCACAGGTTAGATGCCCTGCACGACCTGCTCACGGCCATGCAACCCTGTGCTAACAGCCTTGACGTTGCAGGGATTTTTTTGAGACTTCTAAAAAAATCCCCAAGACTTGCCCACGGTCACGGCCATGCAGCCCTTTCCAGGTACCCTGCCGTACACCCATCAGATATCCATGAAACATTGATAAATCGTTTCCCATAAGTGGTTGGTTTCCTTCGAGTCGTTTCCCGTGAGCCACTTTCTAAAAGTCGTCCCCCCTGGTAGCCTGCCAGCGCTACTCTGCCTGGGCTGCCTGGGGTGCCCTGCCTGGGGTAGCCTTGGTCGAAATATTCATAGCCAACCATCTCACTTGCCACTTGCTGCTGCATGCCCAGTGCAGTGTGTGTGCACCTGGCCCATTACAAACCATACTTCATTGGTAACATTGCAACCTCCATCCCCTCCCTCCCCTCCCTCTCCACCTTCCCACTCGCCCCTCCCCCCATCCATGCCAGCAGGTGCCTGGAGTGGCGTGCCTCGTCTCATCCAGAGCCGATCATCTCAGCGCTACCAAGACGGCTCTGGATGCTGCATGTGCCAACAGTGATTGCCTCGCTGACGCCTCTGTGAGTGTCACCTTAACTCGCAACCACTCACAGAGGCGTCAGCGAGGTGATCACTGTTGGCACATGCAGCATCCAGAGCCGCCTTGGTAGCGGTGAGATGATCGGCTATGGATGAGACGAGGCACGATGACCTTTGAGTCGACTCAAATCAGCACTATACTAGCACCCCACCCCAGGCTCCAGCTGATAGACACTCACAGAGGCATGGATCGCTGGAGGGTCGCTGGAGGGGTCGCTGGAAGGGTCACTGGAGGGGTCACTGGTGGGACATGCGCATGCCAACACCACTGGTACTCACACCTGCACCAACACCCGTCCTTCATCTGCACTCATACCAATGCCAGTACTCGCACTCTCACCTGCCAACATCACTGGCAGCAGCACCACTAGCAGAAGCACTAGCAGCACCACAGGAAGCACACGTATCTTCACCAAAACACCCACCATCCTCAAAGCCCGAGAGCAGAGTGTCAAGGTCCGCGTGTGTGGAGAGCAGCAGGCGACGCATGAAGGTGGACCAGAGGGCGGGGTCGCTGGAGGGTCATGTGCGTGCCAACACTGCTACTCGCACTTTCACCTGCTCACCCACACCTGGCAGCACATCCACACCTGGCAGCACATCCACACCTGGCAGCACATCCACACCTGGCAGCACATCCACACCTGGCAGCACATCCACACCTGGCACCATACCCACACCTGGTAGCACACCCACACCTAGCAGCACACCCACACCTGGCAGCACACCCACACCTGGCAGCACACCCACACCTGGCAGCACAACCACACCTGGCAGCACAGCCACGCCCCCACGCCCCTTACCATCCTCGAAGCCTGAGAGCAGAGTATCGAGGTCGGCGTGTGTGGAGAGCAGCAGGCGACGCATGAAGGCCGACCAGAGAGAAGGATCACTGGCGGGTTATGGTACTCTCACTTTCACCTGTACACCCACCCCTGGCAGCACACCCACACCTGGTAGCACACCCACACCTGGCAGCACACCCACACCTGGCAGCACATCCACACCTGGCAGCACACCCACACCTGGCAGCACATCCACACCTGGCAGCACACCCACACCTGGCAGCACATCCACACCTGGCAGCACATCCACACCTGGCAGCACACCCACACCTGGCAGCACATCCACACCTGGCAGCACACCCACACCTGGCAGCACACCCACACCTGGCAGCACATCCACACCTGGCAGCACACCCACACCTGGCAGCACATCCACACCTGGCAGCACACCCACACCTGGCAGCACATCCACACCTGGCAGCACATCCACACCTGGCAGCACACCCACACCTGGCAGCACATCCACACCTGGCAGCACACCCACACCTGGCAGCACACCCACACCTGGCAGCACACCCACACCTGGCAGCACACCCACACCTGGCAGCACATCCACACCTGGCAGCTATGTGGAGAAAGACGCTGGGGCAGCCCTGCGTCCTGCGTCCGGACGCAGCGTCCGGACGCAAAGACGCAGGACGCACCCTGGAAAATTTTTCGGGCAGACCGAGAAATTTTTTTTTTCGCGATCGCGAAATTGACATTCGCGATTTCGTCGCGAATGTCAATTTCGCCGAAATTCGACACCCCCCAAGCAAATTCGACCCCCAAAACCAGCCATCTAATTCACCCCTAACCCCCTCCCCTTTTTGCAAAATTGATTTGGAAATCCAACCCCTCTCCACCACTCCACAACTAGGAAACCCAACCTTTGTGGTCCACCACCCCCACAAAGCCCATTTAGTTCATGAAACCTCTCATTTGTGCTCCCTTTTCTCACAACCCAATTCTCTTTCAAAAACCCTAGTGGTTTTAGCTCCTTTCCGCGCACCACCGTTATGGCTAGCTCCTTGTGTTCGCGACCTTGTGTTCGTTGCGCACAACTGGAACGTTGTGCACAACCACCACAAGGGTGCGGCGGGTGCGGGGCCGAGTGGGGAAGTCAGGAAGGCGGGAATAGTGGAGGGGAACATTCCCCCCCGACCCCTTCCCGAGGGGTACAAGCTTGAGGAGGATGGAGAGGTGGAGGTGGATGAGGATGACCTCACCTTCGACGAGTACAAGGAGCAGGAGGATTTGGAGAAGGAGGAGGAGAAGGGGATGGAGAGCGAGGAGGATGAGTGATGCATGTTAGTTAGTGGTAGTATGCATGCATGCTAAACAACCCTTGGACTAATTGTGATTATGGAAATTTGGGGCTCACCTTCATGTTCTATTGTTGTGGCTGAAATTTTGTTGTTGAGGAGAAATTTTGCTATGAAAGTGTGTTCCCCCCCCCCCCCCCCCCCCCCCTCTTACCCCCTCTTCCCTCTGCCCTATAACTTTTTTTTTGGCTGCCCGGGGGGTTTTTTTTGGCTGCCCGGACCTGCGTCTTTTGCTGCGTCTCGGGGGCCCTAAACTAGCGTCCAGCGTCTGGACGCATGCGTCTGGACGCATGCGTCCAGGACGCTGGACGCGTCTTTCTCCACATAGCCTGGCAGCACACCCACACCTGGCAGCACACCCACACCTGGCAGTACACCCACACCTGGTAGCACACCCACACCTGGCAGCACACCCACACCTGGCAGCACATCCACACCTGGCAGCACACCCACACCTGGCAGCACATCCACACCTGGCAGCACACCCACACCTGGCAGCACACCCACACCTGGCAGCACATCCACACCTGGCAGCACACCCACACCTGGCAGCACATCCACACCTGGCAGCACACCCACACCTGGCAGCACATCCACACCTGGCAGCACATCCACACCTGGCAGCACACCCACACCTGGCAGCACATCCACACCTGGCAGCACACCCACACCTGGCAGCACAACCACACCTGGCAGCACACCCACACCTGGCAGCACACCCACACCTGGCAGCACATCCACACCTGGCAGCACATCCACACCTGGCAGCACACCCACACCTGGCAGCACATCCACACCTGGCAGCACACCCACACCTGGCAGCACACCCACACCTGGCAGCACATCCACACCTGGCAGCACACCCACACCTGGCAGCACATCCACACCTGGCAGCACACCCACACCTGGCAGCACATCCACACCTGGCAGCACATCCACACCTGGCAGCACACCCACACCTGGCAGCACAACCACACCTGGCAGCACACCCACACCTGGCAGCACACCCACACCTGGCAGCACACCCACACCTGGCAGCACACCCACACCTGGCAGCACATCCACACCTGGCAGCACACCCACACCTGGCAGCACACCCACACCTGGCAGCACACCCACACCTGGTAGCACACCCACACCTGGCAGCACACCCACACCTGGCAGCACATCCACACCTGGCAGCACACCCACACCTGGCAGCACATCCACACCTGGCAGCACACCCACACCTGGCAGCACACCCACACCTGGCAGCACATCCACACCTGGCAGCACATCCACACCTGGCAGCACACCCACACCTGGCAGCACATCCACACCTGGCAGCACATCCACACCTGGCAGCACACCCACACCTGGCAGCACATCCACACCTGGCAGCACACCCACACCTGGCAGCACAACCACGTCCCCACGCCCCTTACCATCCTCGAAGCCTGAGAGCAGAGTATCGAGGTCGGCGTGTGTGGAGAGCAGCAGGCGACGCATGAAGGCCGACCAGAGAGAAGGATCACTGGCGGGTTATGGTACTCGCACTTTCACCTGTACACCCACGCCTGGCAGCACAGCCACGCCCCCACGCCCCTTACCATCCTCGAAGCCTGAGAGCAGAGTATCGAGGTCGGCGTGTGTGGAGAGCAGCAGGCGTCGCATGAAGGCCGACCAGAGAGAAGGATCACTGGCGGGTTATGGTACTCGCACTTTCACCTGTACACCCACCCCTGGCAGCACAGCCACGCCCCCACGCCCCTTACCATCCTCGAAGCCGGAAAGCAGAGTGTCAAGGTCGGCGTGGGTGGAGAGCAGCAGGCGACGCATGAAAGCCGACCAGAGGGCGGGATCGTTGGAGGCCCGGGGGAGCAGCACCAGCAGGTTGCAGCAGGACTGGCGGGGGAGTGGGAGAGGGAAGGGGAAATAATGGTTGCGACTATTAGATCTTGGGGCTCAACTGGAGTGACTTTTGAGAATTCTCAAAAGGGGAAATAATGGTTGCGACTATTAGATCTTGGGGCTCAACGAAGCGGCAGCAGCAGCGGCAGGCGGCGCATGAAGGCCGACGAGAGCGAGGGATCACCGGAGGCACGGGGGAGCAGCACCAGAAGACTGCAGCAGGACTGGTGGGGGAGTGGGGGTGGGGGTGGGGGAAGAGGGAATGTTGCTTGGAATGAGACGGATATCACAAGTTGGGAAATGCCGAGCCGACTCTACAGTCTACTACTACAAGTCATTTTGGGTCCCCGCAACAAACCCCCCACTCACATGAATGATAAATGAAGGTGCACTAGGAGATGACAGCTTCGCCACACACACACACACACACACACACACACACACACGAGAATGCGCATCACCCATACCCACATGAAGAATCACAAGATGGGGAATAATAATTCGACTTTGCACGTTGGTTGCATGTGTGTGACAACCCCCCCCACACTCACATGGACGATTGATGCGGGCGCATTGGGAGATGAGAGCTTAGATACCAGAAGAGCCTCCATCTGCGGTCAGTGGGGGGGTGGTGTGAAGGGGGGATTGAAAAGGAGACTTCTGAGCTTTGGTGCATTGAGTGACTCAACGCACACCAGGGGTGTCGCGTGGATGTAAGGACGGAAGCGGAGCGGAGGGAGGATGGAATCCACAATCCACATAGAAAGCGGGATAAGAATTATGATGCAATAACAGCATTATAGTGAAAAGGGAATCACGCGCCATGCGCACATACTGCGGCAGTAGTAACAATCATAATAATAACAAAAAGCATGAACAATTGATTACATACCGCTGCCACGTGATGCTTGAAGCTGGACGGGAAGGAGCGGAGCAGAAGAGAGAGCAGCGAGAGGCACACGCTCTGGCAGACGGGCAAGGGCGCGTGAGACGAGCAGAGGGGGTGGGAGGGAGGGAGAGAGGGGGTACCGTTTGGGAGGGAGGTAGGGAGAGAGGGAGGGAAGGAGAGAGGCGCCTAAAAAACCACCGGCAGAATATATTTTGAATGCATCTGAATAAACCCCGAGTGATTTCCAACAAGTAGAGACACAATTTCAAAAGCTAATGTGCCACCCACCCATGCCTGCGTGCTCTCAGTGCCACCCATCATCTCTGCCAGAAACGGCCAAAGCTTGCTGGCCAGAGTGCTAGCCTCCTTACGCACGCTCTGCACATGAGACAAAGTTGCCAGCCTGGCATGAGGAGATAGGGAGGGAGGGAGGCACATGCATTAGCATGGTAAGCACGTACGAATGTGGGTGTGTGCATGTGCGTGAGCATGTGACTGTGTGTGCATGCGCACATGTGTTCATGGGTAACCTTGTTCGATGGTCTACACAACACCATACCACACCACACCGCACCGCACCGCACCGCACCTTGAGAAAAGGTCAGCAAGGGCAGCAGCAGCAGCCACGCGCACAAACATCGTATCCTGTACTATGGCCTCCTTGCCCTTCCCACCCCCCCTCTCCTTCTCCTTCCCTCTTCCAATCCCCCTCCCCTCCTTCACCTCCTCTCCCTCCTCTCCCTCCGCTTCCCCCTCTTCATCCCCCTCCTCTTCCCCCTCCTCCTTCCCCTCCTGCTGCTGTTGCGCGCTCTTCTCGCTCCCCCCTCCGCCTCCTTTTGTCTTATTCGCCTTCAGCAGGGCGGCGAGCCGCCCCCACCACTTGGCGTACGTGTCAACCACGCGCTGAGCTGTGCTCTCTGCACACGTGGCACCTGCCAGCACACATGCCGCCCACCGATTGGCTGGCTGGGGAGGAGGAGAAGAGGCCGGAGAGAGGAGAGGTTCGATAAAAAGAGACGTAAGGAAAGGCAAAGAGCTAAGTAGAGGTAAGGTGGGGCAACGACACAACATATTTTGAGGAAGCTTGGAGGTTTGAACTTGGTATCCTTAACTGAGTTTGACTTGACAGTCACACCCTCGGATTCGCACGACCACTTCCCTCGCATCCTTCATTTTCAAATTCACCAACCCTTCATACCCCCAGCAACCGGCAGAAATGGGAAACCCGACCCACCAGCGGGGACGCCAATAGCGCGAATACCCTGCTGCACCACGCGTCCACAGCGCGCCTCCTGGGATCATTATTACTCCCCACGGCCGCCCAGTCCGGTTCCAGGGCCAGCACGTGCTGCTCTCGCAGCACCCCCACCGCTGCCCGCACCCTGCCCATGTCGATGGGATCCTTGGGCGCGGCCGGCAGGAAGGAGGTCAGGAGGGACTGCAGGAGGCGCAGGCGCAGCCGGGGGTCCTGTGCGGTGTGAATGGGAAGTGGGGGAATGGGTGAGGGATGAAATTATAGGGGCAGGAGGACGCAGCACCGCCACCGCCCGCACCCTGCCCATGTCGATGGGATCCTTGGGCGAGGCGGGCAGGAAGGAGGTGAGGAGGGACTGCAGCAGGCGAAGGCGCAGCCGGGGGTCCTGTGGGGGAAAAAGGGGAGTGGGGGGATGGGGGAATGGGGATGGGGAATTAGGGATGAAGGAGAATGACCCAGCACGTGTTGCAGACGTAGCACCCCCACGGCCGCCCGCATCCTGCCCATGTCGATGGGATCCTTGGGCGAGGCGGGCAGGAAGGAGGACAGGAGGGATTATAGGAGGCGCAGGCGCAGCCGGGGGTCCTGTGCGGTGCGAATGGGGAGCAGGGGGATGGGGAATGGAATGAAATGTAATGGGGCAGGGTGGGCCCAGCGCCTCAACCCCACCGCCGCCCAGTGGGGTTCCAGCGTCTTTGAGAGGTCTCGGTCCGGTTCCACGGCCAGCACGTGCTGTTCCCGTAGCACCCCCACAGCCGCCCGCACCCTGCAAGGTGGGGAGGAAAGATGCGAGCAGGGATTGTAGCAGGCGCAGGCGCAGGCGGGGGTCCTGTGATGTGCAAAAGGGAAGTGGGGGGGTGGGGGATGCGATAGAATGCGGCAGGACGGACGTAGGAAGGAGGTGAGGACGGACTGCAGCAGGAGCAGACGGGGGTCCTGTAGGGGTGAGGGGGGAGTGGGGGGATGGTGCATGGAGCAGGAACAGCATGCTTTTCGCGTGAGATGAGGCGACTTTTGAGGCGCCTCAAATGTGGGAGTGGAAGGATGGTGCGTGGAGAGCGGTGAGAGGTGGGGGGTGGAGAGGGGAGGGAGAGTGGGGGGCTAGAATGACCGAATTTGCTGGGTAAGACCAAATGCGCGACAAACGGCGGTCGACGGGGTTAGGGTTTCCGCGAGAAGAGGACATTTTCTTCACGCCGCCAGGCCATATCCACGCGAAGTGGCAGCGATTAGGGTTTCCGGAGCTGAGGTTCAGAACGAGGCGCCTGACTGTTGAACGCACCTGCGCGCCGGATAGCACGTCGTTGCCCATGAGGATCGATTTCGCCATCATTCCCCCCGTCGAGTGCGGCTGCTGCGATCGCAATGACTGCATCGATCCTAAGCCCCTAGGTCAAATTTGATCCGATCCAATTTTTCCGTAAGTCACGGAATGTCTGCTCCAGCCGAGTCGCCCCTTCTTTCCTCCCGCTTTGGACGACCGCCGAGCGCCTCGCCAACGCCAAAGCGGCGGCGCACGCGAGGATGAGATCGAGCACGTTTTACGCCGGTGGGAAATTTAGCAGAAACAGAAAGGTCACTGTAGTAGCAAATCTACAGAGATTGCTTATAGAGATGTTGTAATAAAAGGAGCTTATCCAAGAAAGACCCCTAGGGCGGATAATTCGAGCAAGTTACTGGAGGTTTAACTGTAGGTAGTAACTTCAGAAGCGGGCCGGACTTGTGCGGGTGCTACGGAGGCGAGGACCGGGAGTGTCACTAGAGGACTAGGAAGAAAACTCCCCAACTTCGTCGCCACCTTTGGCTTGAGAAGCTTGGAGGCATGGTTGGGGTTTAGGGCAGAAGGACAAGAGCTAGGGGTGACTGGAACACAACAGGGACTACCACAGCTGGATAGCTGAACATGAGGAAATTCCAAACCCCACAACTCGCCTGTCTGTTTCGAAGGTGCGGCTATGGCCTCTCTTGCCTCCATGAAAGAAGGGATGGGTTGACGTCGCGAACAATCTTCTTCGGCGAGACTGGCATAGCTAGTCATCGCGAACGAGCTGCGACAAATGTATCGACACGACACGAATCTCGACAACCGTTTTCATCGCAGCGCTTCGCGAAACAAGAGCACGGAGTGTACACCTCAAGTCTTGCGGCGCCGCGTCAGAAATGAGGCAACTTGTCGGCAACTGGTCAAACATGGAACTGCATTTCATCAGTGTTCACGAAACCCCCGGAGAACAGCGACACTAATAGCATTTTGCCCAATCGTCGCGAATGTTCTCGTTACCTCGCTCGAATGAACTCGCGAAACGGACATTGCTGACCTAGTGCCACTTTTGTTTGAGCGAAACACGGTTACTCAAATACATCCTTGTCGTTTAGTCATAATCCTCAGGAATACCACCGCAATTTTTGTTGTCACCTGTTCCCTTGGAAACCATGGGGCTGTGCCGATTCTGTCCGTATGCACGGACAAGTACAGGAATATCTCAGCGGAAACGGGTCGTCAAGCCTGACGACCTGTTGACGACTTGACGACATGCTGCCCCGGGCAGAAATAAAAACTAAAACCCCATCGGATGGCATGCCATCCGAGGGAGGCATCAACCCTAAATCCATGCCTCCCTGTGTTTAGGGTTGATGCCTCCCTGACCGGATGCATGCCCGAATGGGTTTTATTTTTTTTGCACGCGGGCAGCAAGCTTCCCCGGGCGGACTCGCTTGTCCGCTGAGATATATTCGGCGGAATACGGTTGCCCAACGAACAATGCAGCACACCACCGCCATTTTCGTTGTCACCTGTTCCCTTGGAAACCATGGGGCTGTGCCGATTCTGTCCGTATGCACGGACAAGTACAGTTTCCGTTCAGCATGCAGAAAATTTCCCTAAGTAAACCCTGAAACTCCTGTTTCATGCCGGGGAGTAGGAGAGTTTCTAGCGGCGTCTTAGAGTGCAGTGCGCTACGGGAGTTGGGGGATGATTGAAGTGACAACAAAACATTTTTATGCCAGGAAGCGCAGTGAGGGGGTGAGGTATATAGATTTAGGTTTTATATGGGATGGGGTGAGGGGTCAATCAGGGCCCAAAATTGGTTTTGGGGCGCCCTTACATATCAGGATCCCAATTAGGCTATGCCTGATGTCCAGGGTAAAAAAGGGTAAAAAATACCCAGTCAAAATCAGGGTGTTTTTTCAAACGCACTGAATCTGAAAGGGTGTTTTTTTACTTGCCTATTGCCTTAAAGCCCGCATGCAAAATAGTGACCCCCGTCCCAACTTGAAAGAGGTGTTGCGACAATATTTTTTTAGGCGAAGAGAGAATGAAAGAAGTATGACAAAACACTGCTTGAAACAAAACGTGCGGGCAGAGAGAGCTCATGTGATTGGCTCTCGCCAAAATGGGATGTTGTGGCTCCCGCCAGAATGGACTTTCCCGCTCACATTTATGCGACCTTCACTTGCACGACCGTTTCCTGGCGATGGGTTCCATCGCAAGGCAACTTCAATATCAAGCTGGTCCTGGGTTCATGACTCCCTGATTTCTATTCCCTTCCTCGCTAGTTTTTTTCCACACGCATAGTATAGCGGAAACCATATGTGCTTGTGTCATTTGCACAGAATTATCGACGACTGCGTTTATTCGCACGAGTGTGTGGTTTAGTATTACGTAGCCCAGTAGCGCAGTGCTATTTTTCCCGCCACTAGCACAATCGTCAGCCTCCGCGTCGTTGTCAGCCCATGTCGCCTTTCCCTCGCCATTACCTTCGCCCCCCCTTTACCCGTTGCACTTCGCGTACCCTCCTCGTTTCCCCTCCCATCACCCACTTCGTTACATTCTCGCTCGCCATGAAACGCCCTCTCGTTGCCCTTCCTTTCTCCCCTCCCGTCACCCACCTCGTCACCTATGCGCTCGCCTCGAAATCGAGGCGCACTCTTGTCGCCTACCACGTCTCCCCTCCTATTACCCACATCATCGTCATCACCCTAAGCCCGCAATGCCCTCTCGTTGCGCGCAGTCGACTCTCCTCGCCCATCGCCCTGGCGCTAGCCTTGAAACGCCCTCGCGGCTCCCTTCTTCACTCCCCTCCCATTACCCGCTTCGTCGTCTTTGCGCTCGCTCTGAGCCGCCCTCCCGTTGCCTATCATCTCTCCACTCCCATCCCGTCGCCCTCGTGTTCCCCTCTCATCTCGCCCTCGAAACGGGCTCTCGTCCAGTAGCCCTCATTGTTTCCGTCGCCCTCTCCTCTTCCCTCACATTGTTTCTCTCTGTTTTTTCCCTCCTTTTGGTTTCCTCAGCGTTTTTGCCGCCCTCTCTCAGGCCCAAAGTCTTCATGGCGATGGCGAAAATTATCCTAACATCTCTCGTGCGGAGATTCACTCTACAACTGTAGTGAGCTAGACTACGGGGGTTAGCACGAACTACTAGGAGTGATCGTAGCTTTGCCTAGTTCCTTAGTGCTTGCACAATCACGGGAGAAATCGGCAAGAGTTTCCACTAGCAAAGTTGGAATTAAAGAATTGTTCAACAAGCAATGACAACAATGACTACATCAGGCACCTAGCAACTCTGCAGCTAGCCTGGTCGACCGTTGCGTAGAGGAGCCGCGCCAGCACTGCAGAAAGGCGACCTGCCAACACAGCAGGTCGACGGTGTGCCAACGCTGCAGCAGAGTGGCTGTCCAGCGTTGCCCCGTAGAAGACAGCAGTGCGCTCGCTCGTAGGTGCGCGCAGGCGATTGGCCCGACTTGCACCGTTGTGCATTCGTCGGTTGTTGTCTGCGCCTGACGAGCCACATCGACTTCGGGATACCAACCCGAAGTCGCCTTCGCCATTGCGACCTCGACGACGTTCGTGTGCCTCCGCAGAACTCGCAGAGCAAATTATCCGGTCGACCCTGACAACCCCAGGTGCCTTGGTCGACCACCAAGTGCCTCTGGTCGACCACCAGGTGCCCCTGGTCGACCACAGCTCCCGTTGAGCTACCCCCTGGTCGACGAACCCCTTCTGTTGATCAGAACTGTCAGCTGTTGTTGCCGAGCTCCCCTCGTCGACCGCTGCTCACTTGTCAGGTCGACGGACTGCTCCGTCGACCTCCCGGTCGAACTGCTCCTCCTGGTCGACGGCACACCCGTCGCCCAGACCAGTCAGTTGCGGCTGTCGAGCTCCCTGGTCGACAGCAACACCACAGCGGTCCCCTGCAGCTCGACGAAGCCTGTCGAGCAGCTCTTCCACTGTGAACGGCCGGCTGCTACTCCCGTACATCCGACCAAGTCGTCGGCGTTGCCCAAGCGAGGGCAGAGCCAACACTCCATTCCCGTTAACACTCCCCTGCCGCGCTCACGCTTGGGCCTCCAGCCCATACGGCAGTACTCCACGGAGAAAACTCGTCCTCGGTGTGCACCCCACACACAGCACGCCATCACCGCACCAGCCGTGCAGAAGGGCACGGCACCTACTGCTGCGCATCATCGTCGCCGTCGTCGACGTCGGCCAGACGAACTTGGCCGATGGAGACAAAGCACCGGTTGAAAGCCGGGGAATGCAGCGCCTTCGTCAGGAAGTCTGCTGGCTACTCGGTGGTCGGGATGTACTTCAGTACAAACTTCCCGCGCCTCACCATGTGCTGCAGCCAGGCATAGCGTCGCTCCATGTGCTCGAGTTTGCCCGTCAGCCCCAAGCCCTCAGCGACTGTAATTGCCGACTTGTTGTCGACGCGGAGGATGGTCGGCTTCCCAGCGTCGAGTAGCTTGAATTCCGCAAGAAGGAAACGAAGTCGGCGTCCCTCCTTGCCTGCATCCGTGGCCGCCACGTACTCCGACTCTGTCGATGACAATGTCGCGCACTTGATGCGCGAGCTCGACCAGGAGACGGCGCCCCTCCGTAGACGAACACATAGCCTCCCGTGCTCGTCCGGTTCTGCTTTTCGCCCGCGTCGTCGGCGTCCACCTAGCCGATCAGCTCCAGCGACTCTGGTTCACTGCCGAATTCCAGGGCGGTGTTGCGGGTGTCAGCGAGGTAGGCGAGGCAGCGGTCGACCTCGCGCCAATGCTGGCCGCTCCTCACCGTGAGGCCGCTCCCCAGCTTGCTGCAGGCGAACGCGATGTCCGGCCTCGTCGTCGTCGCCGCGAACTGCAGCGAGCCAACCTTCTGCCGGTACTCCTCCTCCTCGCGCTCCCGCGCCTCCTCGTCGTCGAATGTCAGCTCGGCGTAGGCATCGACCGAGACCGGCGTCTTCGGGACTCGACCGCCCTGCTCCTCGTCGATGAAGCGCTGGTACATGTAGAGCACCCTGTCGAGCTTGCTCTGCAGGAAAGATTTCTTCATGTCAAGCTGCATCAGGTTGAGGTCGAGGACGGCGACGATGCTGAGGAAGATCCTCAGCGTGACGTAGCTGCTCACCGGCGAGTACGTTTCGTCGTAGTCGGCACCGCACACCTGCGTGAAGCCCTTCACGACCAACCTCGCCTTCTCGCGCTCGACGGTGTCGTCGATGCGGTACTTGGTCGTCAGCACCCACCGGTTCTTCATGATGTTCACCCCGTGTGGGCGTTCGACCAGTTCCCTAGTGCCCATGCCGATGAGGCTGCGGATCTCTTCTTCCATGGCGGCCTTCACCGCCTCACCCTTCCAGCTCGCCAGCGCCTCCTTCACTGTCATCATGGCGATGTCCCAGCGGTGTTCGGGGTCGGCATGCACGTCGGGGTCGAGCTCCGGCAGTTCTTCATCCTCCTCAGCGTCGTCGTACAACAGGTCGTCGTCTACCTCGTCGTACACAGTGGTGAAGGCAGCTGGCAGTAGGCAGGCGTGGAAGCTTAGCCGCTCCGGCGGCCGTCGAGTTCGACCTGTGCGTCGCAGCTCAGGCTTCGTGATCGGCACCTACACCACGTCGCTGTTAGTGGACTCTTCTCCTGCCGACAGCTCCCCTTCGTCGTCGATGGCCAAGTCTTCAGCTGACTTCGACAGCTCCCCTGTCGATTGCACCCCTGCTGATGCCTCCTGTTCGACCGGCTCCCCTGTCTGCTTCTCCCCTGTCGTCGACGGCTTCCCCTCCTGGTCGACGAGCTTGGCGTTTTGTCGACCGCCGGCAATGCCACTGGCCGGCGCCACAGGCGACGCCTCAAGGCTCCCCTCATCGTTGGTGGCCAACCCAGGTGTCGACGCAGGCTGATCTGCGACAGGGAAGGGAGGAGCAAGAACAGGGGGAGGTGGAAGAACCTCCAAAACATCCTCATCAGCAGGCTCATCAACTTCGGCGAGCAAGGGAACCGTCGCCGTAGTGGTGTCCGTCGGCGGGTGTGCCTGCGTCCGCCCCGACACCGACCCAAACTTCGCCTTCCACACCTCCAGCGACAGCGTCTCGTAGAAGATCACCTCAACCGACGTGACCACCTTGTTGTCGGTCAGGTCGAGCACCTCCCAGCCCTAACTCTCCGGCGACGCGCCTAGGTGAAGCCCCCAGCGAGCTTTCAACACCAGCTTCCCACCGCGCTGCTGCTCAGGAACCATGAATTGCACCATGCAGCCCCACACCCGCGCCAGCGTGAGGTCGGGCTTCTTCCCGGCCAGCAGCTGGTACGGAGTCGTCCCCGGCGGCGTCGTCGACCGCTCCAAGCAGTTGCGCACCCAGACAGCTTGTCGTAGAGCGAGGTGCCACCAGTGGTGCTGCACGCCCATGTGCAGCAGCATCGTCCTCACGGACTCGACGGTCGTGCGCATCTCCCGCTCAACCATGCCGTTCTGCTGTGGAGTGTAAGGGCACGTCAGGTCGTGGACGATGCCCTTGCCATCAACGAAGTCGGTGAATTTCTTCCCTAGGAACTCCCCTCCCCGGTCTGAGCGGAGCATCAGCACCGACTTCTTCGCCTGCCGTTCCACCAGCACCAGCCACTTCTGGAACTCCCGTAGCACGTCGCTCTTCTTAGAGACCGGCATCGCCCACACAAATCGAGTGTGGCGATCCTTCAGCAGCAGAAAGTATAGGCTGCCATCCTTAGAAGCAACCCGAAATGGCCCGCACAAGTAAATGTGCACGACAGCCAACGCCTCCTCGGTGTCCGAGCCTTTGTCGGGGAAGGTGTGCCACGCCAGCTTTCCTCCGACGCACGAGACACATGGCGGGTCTGCTCTGGTCGACGGAGTGATGTCGAGCCCAGTAGCAATTGCATGCTTCGCCGAGCTCTTGATCGTATCGACGCTGACGTGCGCGAGCCTCGCATGCAACCGGCCATGGGTCGACTTTGTCGCCGAGACGATCATCCGCGGAGCCACTGCCTCGGTTGACTCCGACCGCGTCGAGCAGGGGCGAAGGTCGGTGCAGAGGACACGTCCGGTGTAGCGTGCTCGACCGAGCACCCCCCCGGTCGCGGCGACGAGCAGCATCTCGTCGCCGTCGCCCTTCAGCTGTAGTCCGCTCTCCTTCAGTTGGCCAGCAAATAGCAGGTTCGCCTGTACGCCCGGAACGTAGAGCACGTCGGGGATGAGGACCCGCTTCCCGGCCTCCCCTTGCAGAGCGACGGTTCCGCGACCCTCAACAGGCTGTAGTGCCCCGTTGAATCCACGAACGTGCTTCACGCCGTCGCTCGACGCCATGTTGACAAAGACCGCCTTCGTCCCCATCAGGTGGTGGGAGCAGCCGCTGTCGAGCAGCACCGCCATCGGGTTGGCTTGCACAGCTGCCGCCACCGCCTGGAAGTCCTCGCCAGCCTCCGGCGCCAGCGAGACCGTCGGCTCCACTACGCCGACCATCGAGCACGTCGCCTCCCCGTCGCCTCGGCTCTTTCCGCTGGAGTTGTCGACGTCCTTCGTCGACGACGTCTTCCTCGACGTCTGCTTCTCCTTGCGCGGCTTCGCATCTCTATGCGGGCGACGGCTGGTCGATCGACTGCGTCCTCCCTTGGTGTCGTCCTCGTCGCTGTCATCGTGGTCGGGACACTCGTAGGAAAGGTGGTCGGGGTCATGGCAGATCCAGCATGTCAGAACATTATAGCTTATACGTTTATGTAGGCTGTAGTGGGGTAGCCCATAAGGGGTACAACCCAATTAGGGTTAGTACTTGTACCAAACTTTTGCTCAATGTATTCATTCTCGTTTGTTATGTCAGATATATATGCCTTAGGCTATGTAGGCTGTAGTGGGGTAGACACTAAGGGGTACATGTTTCATATTTGTATCTCACACTTTCCTAGTTCATTCATTCCTGTTGATTCTCACATGGTATAGAGCGGGTTCCCTCATGGGACCGTTCCTTCCTAAGGGCCCACCATAACAAACCTTTTTTTAGCTGCCCGAAGCGAGTCTCGCGCCCTGCCCTAAAATTTTTTTTTTTCGCGGCCCCAAAGCGGCCCCTACACGGCCCCTACGCAGCCCCTACGCGACCCCTACGCCGCCCCTAAACGGCCCCGTCGCGGCCCCGTACCTGACGCGGCCCCGTCCCTGACGCGGCCCCGCCCCTACCCGGCCCCTACGCGGCCCCTACGCGGCCCCTACGCGGCCCCTACGCGGCCCATACGCCGCCCCTAAACGGCCCGGCCTCGGCCTCGGCCCCGTCCCGGACCTGCCCCGGCCCCGACCCTGTCCCGGCCCTACCCCGGCCCCGTCTCGGCCCCGTCCCGGACCTGCCCCGGCCCCGACCCCGTCCCGGACCTGCCACGGCCCCGACCCTGTCCCGGCCCTACCCCGGCCCCATCTCGGCCCCGTCCCGGACCTGCCCCGGCCCCGACCCCGTCCCGGACCTGCCCCGGCCCCGACCCTGTCCCGGCCCTACCCCGGCCCCATCGCGGCCCAGTCCCGGACCTGCCCCGGCCCCGACCCTGTCCCGGCCCCGTTGCTGCCCCGTCCTGGACCCTGCTCGGCCCCGACCCTGTCCCGGCCCTGTCACGGCCCCGACCCAGTCCCGGACCTGTCCCTGGTAAGAACATAGCAGGGCCGAGCCGCGCGGCCGAGCCGCACTGCTTTGCCGAGCCGCCCTGCCGAGTCGCGCTGTCCTGCCTAGCTCAGTTGCACTGCTGCCGCTGCTAGTCTACTGCTGCTCCTATCATGGCTAGTCCTAGTCTTCTCACCTTTGATGCTGAGGGTCGAGCGGTTGACTTCGATGTCTGGCTAGATGATCTGCAGCTTTTCCTTCAGTGCGATAGCAAGGATGGTCTCTCACTGTTTGATCTTACGTCGGGCGCCTCTACTGCCCCTGCTGCTGATGCTGACAGTACCGTTCGCTCGCAGTGGCTCACACGCGATGCTGCTGCCCGCCTTGCTGTGCGTAGTCACCTACCGTCTACTGAGCGCGCGCACTTTAGTCAGTACAAGAGTGTTAAGACTCTGTACGACGCTGTAGTTGCACGCTACTCTTCCCCTGCCACTGCTGCGCTTAGCCGCCTCATGCTACCGTACCTGTTCCCTGACCTCGCTGCTTTTGCCATAGTCACTGACCTCATTACGCACCTCCGCACTAGTGACACTCGCTACCGCGCTGCGCTTCCTGCTGAGTTCTACGCCCAGAACCCCCCCCCCCATGTACATCACCCTCTACTACCTAGTCACTCGACTCCCTGACACTCTCCGCTCGGTCAGGGACCACTTCCTCTCTCTTTGCCCTACCACCCTCACTGTCGACCTCCTCGAGGAGCGCCTCCTTGCAGCAGAGACTAGTATTACCGCTGTAGGCGCCTCTCGTGGTGACCCCCGTACCCCTTTCTTTGAGGGGTGCTCCCCCGTTCCTCTTTTGCCCTCTGTTGCCTCTGCTGCTGCTGTCGACCTTGTTGGCACCGAGTCGGTCAGCGCTGCGTCTGCTCCTAGTGAGAGGCGCCGCATCAGCAAGGGCAAGCGGAGCAAGGGAGCTGGAGGAGGTGGTGGGGGCGGCGGTAGTGGCGGTGGAGGCGGAGGAGGGGGTGGGGGTGGGAGTGGTGGCAGAGGTGGGGGCTTCGGTGGCGGCGGTGGAGGTGGAGGCGGCGGTGGCGGTGGCGGGAGGGGTGGAGTAGGCGGAGGCGGCGGCGGCGGAGGTGGAGCTGGTAGAGGCGGAGCTGTGCAGCGGGGACCCCAGCAGCAGCAGCGCTCTCGTGAGACCCCTTTGCCCCAGCAGCTTCGTGAGTGGTACGCGGGGCGCCAGGGGTCTGGGGGTGCTGGTCCCTGTACTTACGTCCTGCGCACCAGCGACCGCACTGGAGAGCAGTGTGGCGGCCTGCACGCCACCCAACGCTGCTTCGGTCGCCTGACAGACGCCTGGCATGCCCAGTTCCCGGACGCTACTGAGATCCCTCGTTGGGGTGATCTGCTCAGGTCGGGGGTAGCTATCTTTGATCTTGACTTTGATGCTATTCTTGCTGCCATGTATGCTGTGTCTATTAGTGCTGAGGGTGACTGTTACGTGTGTGTCCCGCCTGACCCTGGTATTGAGGCTGCTGCTCTAGGTGCTCGTGAGTCTGCTGCTCCAGGTACTCGTGAGTCTGCTACTCTAGGTGCTGGTGAGTCTGCTCTCTCAGGTACCGCGTCGGCACAGGTCTTTCACACCTTCACCCTCGACTCGGGTGCTTCCCGCTCCTTCTTTCGAGACCACACCACCCTTACGCCGCTCAGTCGGCCGGTTGCGGTCTCCCTGGCAGACCCCTCTGGGGGTCCTGTCCTTGCTCGCTACTCCACTGTCCTCCCGTGTCCGGCGGCCCCGTCAGGCTCCCTGTCTGGTCTCTACCTCCCCTCGTTCTCTACGAACTTGGTGAGTGGTGCTGACCTTCAGGATGCCGGGGTTGACCACTTCACTCCTGCGAGTCAGCGAGTGACCCACTGCACGTGTGCTCAGACGGGCCGCCACTTGGCCACGTTTACCCGTCGACCGGGGTCGAGCCTGTACACCCTGACCACAGAGTCTCCACCGGTTGCTGCGTCTGGTCAGGTAGCTGCGTCGAGTTAGGTGTTTACTGCAGCGTCTCGGTCAGGTCCTGAGTCTGCCCCCTGCTCGTGTCGCCTCCTGTCTCACCAGACCCTCCTCTGGCACCACCGCCTTGGTCACCCCTCCTTGCCTCGTCTCCGAGGCATGGCCTCCCGTGTCCTTGTCTCTGGTCTCCCCCGGTCCCTCCCTCCCCTTCCCCCGGGGCCTGCCCCTACCTGCGTTCCCTGCGTCGAGGGGCGGCAGCGCGCCACTCCTCACTCCTCCGAGTTTCCCCCGACAGAGGCTCCGCTGCAGACTCTTCACATGGACGTGTGGGGCCCAGCCCGCGTCCGTGGACAGGGTCACGAGCGTTACTTCCTGCTGGTGGTTGACGACTACTCGCGTTACACCACTGTCTTCCCCTTGCGCAGCAAGGGTGAGGTCACTGCGGTGTTGATCGACTGGATCCGCGTTGCTCGTCTCCAGCTCAGAGAGTGTTTCGGCTCGGACTTTCCTGTTCTGCGTCTGCACTCCGACAGAGGCGGAGAGTTTTCCTCCGACCTTCTGCGAGCCTTCTGTCCTGCGGAGGGCATCCGCCAGACGTTCACGCTTCCGGCCTCTCCACAGCAAAATGGGATTGCTGAGCGTCGCATTGGCATGGTCATGGATGTCGCTCGTACATCCATGATCCATGCGGCTGCTCCCCATTTTCTGTGGCCGTTCGCGGTTCAGTACGCGGCGCATCAGATCAACCTTCAGCCCCGGGTCTCCCTGCCGGAGACCTCCCCTACTCTGCGGTGGACGGGGAAGGTTGGTGATGCGTCTGCGTTCCGTGTCTGGGGATCTCGAGCGTTTGTCCGAGACTTGTCTGCGGACAAGCTGTCCTCCCGTGCTGTTCCTTGCGTCTTCCTCGGCTTTCCCCCTGACGCGCCTGGTTGGCAGTTTTACCACCCCACCTCGCGTCGTGTTCTGTCCTCCCAGGACGTCACGTTTGACGAGTCGGTTCCGTACTACCGTCTCTTCCCCTACCGCACTGCCCCCCTCCCCCCCCCGCCGCTCTTCCTCGCTCCCGGTCCCCCCCCGGTAGACCCCCTCCCCGCTCAGGGTCCTGCCCCCTCAGGTGTGTCCCAGGTAGATGCAGTCGAGCCTGTCGAGGTAGCTACTGACTCTGGTGCGTCTGGGGGTGCTGAGCCTGAGCGTGCGGAGCCTGGGGGTGCTGGGTCTGGGGGTGCTGAGCCTGAGCGTGCGGAGCCTGGGGGTGCTGGGTCTGGGGGTGCTGTGCCTGAGTGTGCGGAGCCTGGGGGTGCTGCTTCTGGGGGTGCTGAGCCTGGGGCTGCTGGGCGTGGGGGTGTGGAGCCTGTCGGTGCTGGACCTGACGGTCCTTCGGGTGCTTTGTCCCAGCGGGAGCTTCCCTCTCCACAGGAGCTGCGCGAGTGGTTTGCTTGCCGCTGGAGCCGTGCTGCTGGAGCTGGCGGTGCTGCCGGTGCTGGAGGTTCTGCTGCTGCTGGAGGTACTGGAGCTGGAGGTGCTGCTGGAGCCGGTACTGGAAGTTCTGCTTCTGCTGGGGGTGCTGGGGCCACCGGTCCCGGAGGTGCTCGTACTGGAGGTACAGGAGCTGCTGGGCCTGGTGGTGCCCCTGGCGCTGGAGCTACTGGTGGTGCTGCTGGAGTGGGTGCTACTGGAGGTCCTGGAGCCGGAGCGGCTGTGTCTGCTGGTGGTTCTGCTGGAGCTGGAGCTCCTGGAGGTACTGGGGCTGGTGGTGCTGCTGGAGTTGGAGCTGACGCTGGGGGTACTGGTGTTGTCCCTGCTGGTTCTGGAGGTGCTGCGCGGCCGCGGCCGTACTTAGTTCCGCTCCTTGAGCAGGTTCTTGGTCTTCCGCCTTCTCCTAGTCCTGCTCCTTCCTTAGCGTGTCCTCCGCCTGTCCAGTCCGAGTCACAGTTACAGCTGGTCTCCCCTCTACCTGCTCCTTCTCCCTACGCTGGTCCTACTGGAGGTCTTGCTGAGCGTCGTGAGCCTGAGTCGCGTCCTGCGTCGCCTGTTCGCACTGCTCGCACTAGTCGTCGTGTTCCACGTCCGCGTCCTCCTGCAGTCCCGGGCACGCATCAGATGGCACTACGTCCTTCCACTGCGCCACAGCGTGTCCCCTTGCCGTCTCCTCCAGAGTCCTCTCTTCCTGCCCTTGCTGACCCGGCGTCTGACTCCCTTCGTGCTACCAGTCCTACTGTCACGCGTTTCTTAGCCACTGTTGTCACTGACCCTTCCTTTGAGTCCACTGCTGCGTCTGCCTTAGTTACCGAGCTTGTCGACTTCGCTGCTCACTGTCGTCTGGACTACGCTTGCTGAGTCTGCGTCTGTCTGTCCTCCGTCCGTCGGGGGTGAGTGTGCTCTTAGCACGGACGTCCTTGAGGACCGACAGGAGGAGTTCCAGTGTTTTGCTGCTGCTTTACCTCATCTCGTGTCCACGTTGCTTGCCCCTGAGGGAGACCCGGATGCACCAGACATCCCGACCCCGCGCTCTTACGCAGAGGCGATAGAGGGTCCTTACTCCTCTCAGTGGCAGGCAGCCATGGACGCAGAGATGGCTTCCTGGAAGTCCACAGGCACCTACGTCGACGAGGTTCCCCCGCCTGGGGCGAACATCGTCAGTGGCATGTGGATTTTCAGGGTGAAGCGGCCGCCTGGTTCTCCGCCTGTCTTCAAGGCGCGTTACGTGGCTCGAGGCTTCAGTCAGCGGCAGGGAGTTGACTACTTTCAGACCTTCTCCCCGACCCCGAAGATGACCACTCTTCGGGTTCTGCTGCACGTTGCTGCTCAGCATGACTACGAGCTTCACTCCCTTGACTTCAGCACTGCTTTCCTACAGGGCAGTCTGCACGAGGAGATCTGGCTGCGCCGCCCACCTGGCTTCACTGGGTCGTTTCCTCCTGGTACCCAGTGGAGCCTCCGGCGGCCAGTCTACGGTCTCCGCCAGGCGCCACGTGAGTGGCACGACACACTGAGGACTACGCTTGCGGCTCTTGGGTTTGCTCCTTCCACTGCTGACCCGTCGCTGTTTCTTCGCACCGACACTTTGCTGCCGCCGTTCTACATCCTCGTGTACGTCAACGACTTGGTGTTTGCTACAGCTGACACTGCTGGACTCGCCCACGTGAAGTCCGAGCTGCAGAAGAGACACACGTGCACAGACCTGGGTGAACTGCGCAGCTATCTTGGCTTGCAGATCACCCGGGACAGAGCACGGCGCACCATTACCCTGATTCAGTCACACATGGTGCAGCAGGTCCTTCAGCGCTTCGACTTCACGTACTCCTCGCATCAGGCCACTCCTCTGTCTACTCGCCACTCGCTCTCAACTCTGCCTTCGGATGAGTCCGTAGAGCCGAGTGGCCCGTACCCAGAGCTTGTGGGCTGCCTCATGTACCTGATGACTTGCACTCGACCTGACCTAGCATACCCTCTGAGCATCCTGGCACGCTATGTTGCTCCTGGCAGACACCGACCAGAGCACATGGCTGCAGCGAAGAGGGTGTTGCGCTACTTGTGCAGTACTTCGGGCTTGGGGCTAGTGCTTGGAGGGCGGAGTCCAGTGGTCCTCACTGGTCACGCAGACGCGTCTTGGGTTGACGACCTGGCTACGCAGCTGTCGTCACAGGGTTACACCTTCAGCCTTGGTTCCGGCTCTGTTTCGTGGCGGTCTACTCGCTCGTCTTCTGTTCTCAGCTCCAGCTGTGAGGCTGAGATCTACGCAGGGGCCATGGCTGCACAGGAGTTACGCTGGCTCACCTACTTGCTGACTGACCTGGGAGAGCCGCCTCGTTCTCCTCCAGTTCTGTACGTAGACAACAAGGCCATGCTGGCCTTGTGTCGGGAGCACAGACTGGAGCACAGAACGAAGCACATTGCTCTTCGCTACTTCCTTGCTCGTGAGCTGCAGCAGCGTGGTCAGCTGCGCCTTGCTTACGTGGCCTCTCAGGCCAACACTGCTGATATCTTTACCAAGGCACTTCAGCCTTGTGATCATCAGCGCTTCTGTACTATGCTAGGTCTTGTGCCTACTTGGCCTCACTTGCTTACCTCTTGACTTTGCTTGTACTGTGATCTATATATACCTGCACTTGCTTGTTTACCTGTATATATGACCTTGCATGTGAACTGGCCTTGTGGCCTTTGAACCTGTGCTCAGACTGTGTGGTGACGTTGTGATCCACCCTGAGCTTGCTTTGCTTTGCTTTGCTTGACTGGTCTTGTGACCCCTAGTTCTCCCCCACTTTGCCTATGGGGGTGTGTCAGATATATATATGCCTTAGCCTATGTAGGCTGTAGTTGGGTAGACACTAAGGGGTACAGCTTTTATATTTGTATCTCACACTTTCCTAGTTCACATTCATTCCTGTTTCAATCTTCACATATGACTTAGCCTATGTAGGCTGTAGTGGGGTAGACACTAAGGGGTGTAGGTTTCATATTTGTATCTCACACTTTCCTAGTTCATTCATTCCTGTTGATTCTCACATGTTATTCTCACATGGAATCAGAGTAGGTTACTTGGGCCCACCACCTGCTGCACTGCGACTACCTCCCAAGGCCCAGCGCCCCTAGCCCCGCGCCCGGCCTCGTTCCTAGCCCCGCGCCCGGCCCGTCTATCGCCCGCGCCCGGCTCGTACCTAGCCCCACGCCCAGCCCGTCTCTCGCCCGCGCCCGTCCCGTTACTAGCCCGCGCCCGGCCCCGTCTCACGCCAGCGCCCGGCCCGTACGTAGCACGCGCCCCGTAGACACCCGCGCCCGGCCCGTACCTAGCCCGCGCCCCGTCGACACCCGCGCCCGGCCCGTACGTAGCCCGCGCCCCGTAGACACCCGCGCCCGGCCCGCACCTAGCCCGCGCCCCGTCAACACCCGCGCCCGGCCCGTACCTAGCCCGCGCCCCGTCGACACCCGCGCCCGGCCCGTACGTAGCCCGCGCCCCGTAGACACCCGCGCCCGGCCCGTACCTAGCCCTTGCCCCGTCGACACCCGCGCCCGGCCCGTACGTAGCCCGCGCCCCGTAGACACCCGCGCCCGGCCCATACCTAGCCCGCGCCCCGTCAAAACCCGTGCCCGGCCTGTACCTAGCCCGCGCCCCGTCGACACCCGCGCCCGGCCCCTTCTCTCGCCCTCGCCCGGCCCGTACCTAGCCCGCGCCCGGCCCCGTCTTACGCCAGCGCCCGGCCCGTACCTAGCCCGCGACCCGGCCCCATACCTAGCCCGCGCCCTGTCCACACCCGCGCCCGCGCCTCGTCGACACCCGCGCTCCGCCCCGTACCTCGCCCGCGCCAGGCCCCGTACCCAGCCCGCGCCCGGCCCAGTACCTAGCCCGCGCCCGGCCTCGTACCTGCCCAGCGCCCGGCCCCGTACCTTGTTTGGCCCCTCGGCCCCGTTCCTTGTTTGGCCCCTCGGCCCCGTTCCTTGTTTGGCCCCACGGCCCTGCCCCTCGGCCCCTCGGCCCCTAGCCTCGGCCCCTAGGCTCGGCCTCCTCGGCCCTAGTGTTTGGCCCCTCGGCCCCCCCTAGGCCCCTCGGCCCCAGTTCAGAGCCCAGCGCCCGGCCCCGTACCTGCCCAGCGCCCGGCCCCATGCCTAGCCCGCGCCCGGCCCCGTACCTAGCCTGCGCCCGGCCCCTTGTTTGGCCCCTCGGCCCCGCCCCTCGGCCCCTCGGCCCCTAGCCTCGGCCCCTAGGCTTGGCCCCTCGGCCCTCGTGTTTGGCCCCTCGGCCCCCCCTAGGCCTCTCGGCCACCTTGGCCCTCTTGTTTGGCCCCTCGGCCCACTAGGCCCCTTGGCCACCTAGGCCCTTCGGCCCCCTATGCCCCTCGGCCCCTTGGCCCTCTTGTCACTCGGCCCCTTGGCCTCGTGTTTGGCCCCTCGGCCCCTAGTCCCCGCGGCCTCC